TGATGCTCATACTGGTACCTGTTTAAATAAAAGCTTGAATATAAATAAGCACTTTATGTTGTATTTATTTAACTTAACAATGTAGCCATTACTACTTGAGTTTTGTTGAATCAACACAAGCCCCCTACATAAATATTATTCATTTCTGTTAAGTTGATCAAACTTAACCGTGTTTGGTTGAACCAATGTGAGATTAGTAAATCCAACATAATGTTGTTGGGCTTATACAATCTAACACTGTCATGTTACTGTAAAGTGAGAATGTTGAGTATACTTTATCTAACATCTGGTGTTCAAATTAATTGTGATTTGCATTTCCAATTTAAACAACACAGTTTCGTGGAACCGGTTGCCATAAAAAAGTTAAGTAAAGTCAACATTTCATTTCTTACAGTGCAGAGAGAGACCAGAGAGAGACCAGAAAGAGACCAGAGAGAGACCAGAGAGAGAGAGACCAGAGAGAGAGACCAGAGAGAGAGAGAGACCAGAGAGAGAGACCAGAGAGACCAGAGAGAGACCAGAGAGAGAGAGAGGCCAGAAAGAGACCAGAGAGAGACCAGAGAGAGAGAGAGGCCAGAGAGAGACCAGAGAGAGAGAGAGAGGCCAGAGAGAGACCGGAGAGAGAGAGAGAGGCCAGAGAGAGACCAGAGAGAGACCAGAGAGAGAGAGAGGCCAGAGAGAGAGAGAGAGGCCAGAGAGAGACCAGAGAGAGAGAGAGAGACCAGAGAGAGACCAGAGAGAGACCAGAGAGGCCAAAACTACATTAATGTGAAAACTAGTTTGAGGCTGTTTCAGAGCTGGGCACTGGTGACATGTATATTTTCACATAGTTGTGGTTTGAAAGTTACACACTGCAGCTTTAAAAGACTCCTAAAAGCAAAATGAATGAAAAACCAGCAAAAACACGTCCTTATAAAATCGCATGTCGTAAAAATGTCCTTTTATAAGTTTCCGACGCAAACTCATCGAAGTGGAGTTGTTTTTCCCATAATTCCCGGCTCCCTGTGCGGTTCTTGGGAAAAGTTAGGGGCCGATAAGAGTCTGGGTAAAGTACAAAATGCAGCTCTCGAACGCGGCGATGGAGGAGGCTGAGATGACACAAAATGGCCTCCTCAAGTCAAAGCAGGCATTAGGATTCAGACGGGAGAGGCGCAGAGCTCTCAGCGGCTCTCAGCAGCTCTCAGCGGCTCTCCATTACTTTAATTACAGAGTCGTGGACACATCGTGGACTACTTACTATGATGTTTATACATTTAATCACAGAAATGCTTTCAAACTGTAATTATTCTAACGGGAAGTGGACGGGTTTGAGTCAGACAGAAATAAGGCATGGCTGGAATTAGCATTTTTGTTATGACAATGGCATCGCTGCTTTGCTTTGAAAAATAGGCCTGTTGTAAAGATGAAATATTATGCATTACTTTTGGAGAAAAAGGATCAAGATGAAAAATGCTTTTTGTCAGTAACTCCGTGTGCTGCCAACACAGAACCATCATTTCACCTGGAATTTACCACAACTAATGTACAGTATGAGCAAAAAGTTACAAGTCTGATGCTCAGTCTCTGTCTCCGGTCTCTCTGTCTCCGGTCTCTCTGTCTCTGGTCTCTCTGTCTCCGGTCTCTCTGTCTCCGGTCTCTCTGTCTCCGGTCTCTCTGTCTCTGGTCTCTCTGTCTCCGGTCTCTCTGTCTCCGGTCTCTCTGTCTCCGGTCTCTCTGTCTCCGGTCTCTCTGTCTCCGGTCTCTCTGTCTCGTCTCTCTGTCTCCGGTCTCTCTGTCTCCGGTCTCTCTGTCTCCGGTCTCTCTGTCTCCGGTCTCTCTGTCTCCGGTCTCTCTGTCTCCGGTCTCTCTGTCTCCGGTCTCTCTGTCTCCGGTCTCTCTGTCTCCGGTCTCTCTGTCTCCGGTCTCTCTGTCTCCGGTCTCTCTGTCTCCGGTCTCTCTGTCTCCGGTCTCTCTGTCTCCGGTCTCTCTGTCTCCGGTCTCTCTGTCTCCGGTCTCTCTGTCTCCGGTCTCTCTGTCTCCGGTCTCTCTGTCTCCGGTCTCTCTGTCTCCGGTCTCTCTGTCTCCGGTCTCTCTGTCTCCGGTCTCTCTGTCTCCTCGGTCTCTCTGTCTCCGGTCTCTCTGTCTCCGGTCTCTCTGTCTCCGGTCTCTCTGTCTCCGGTCTCTGTCTCCGGTCTCTGTCTCCGGTCTCTGTCTCCGGTCTCTGTCCCCGTCTCCGGTCTCTGTCTCCGGTCACGCTCTGGTCACTCTTAAAAAGTGAGAAAACTGAGTATGATGTCATAGTGGTACAATGACATCAAAGTGTCAGGACTGGGACAGGAGCCTGGATCTACAGCCTCAGTCCTGGATCTACAGCCTCAGTCCTGGATCTACAGCCTCAGTCCTGGATCTACAGCCTCAGTCCTGGGTCTACAGCCTCAGTCCTGGGTCTACAGCCTCAGTCCTGGGTCTACAGCATCAGTCCTGGATCTACAGCCTCAGTCCTGGGTCTACAGCCTCAGTCCTGGGTCTACAGCATCAGTCCTGGGTCTACAGCCTCAGTCCTGGGTCTACAGCCTCAGTCCTGGGTCTACAGCCTCAGTCCTGGGTCTACAGCCTCAGTCCTGGGTCTACAGCCTCAGTCCTGGGTCTACAGCCTCAGTCCTGGGTCTACAGCCTCAGTCCTGGGTCTACAGCCTCAGTCCTGGGTCTACAGCCTCAGTCCTGGGTCTACAGCCTCGCTCCTGGATCAGTCCTGTATAAAGTCTGCTGTGACAGATAACCCGGGTGCCAGACAGTAATGTGATTATTCCTCCAGAGCAGACAACACCTTGACGTGAGCCGCTGGGACGAGCGACAGGAGCAAAAACTGTCTCTGCTTCAAACACAAAAGGGCTTCAAACCCATGTTATACACGGGGCTTCAAACCCATGTTATACACGGGGCTTCAAACCCATGTTATACACGGGGCATTTGACACAAACAACGTATTAATAATAACACTGAATCAGATTTATTCAGTGCTTTCAGACGCTCAAAGTCTCTTCACATCATTATTCTTTCTCTCCAAACACAGCTGCAATAAACTACTACTGTAGCCACAGCTGCCCTGGGGCACACTGACAGAAGCGAGTCCACCAGTCTGTGCCATCAGCCCCTCCCACCTCCACCACCACCAACAGCAATGGTTGGTGGAGACACTCCTCACCCAGAGAGTGACCCCTCACACAGAGAGAGACCCTCACACAGAGAGAGACCTCACAGAGAGAGAGGGACCTCACACAGAGAGAGACCCTCACACAGAGAGAGACCCCTCACACAGAGAGAGAGATCTCACACAAAGAGAGAGACCTCACACAGAGAGAGACCTCACACAGAGAGAGACCCCTCACACAGAGAGAGACCCTCACAGAGGGAGACCCCTCACACAGAGGGAGAGACCTCACACAGAGGGAGAGACCTCACAGAGACAGACCTCACACAGAAAGAGAGACCCCTCACACAGAGAGAGACCTCACACAGGAGGGAGATACCTCACAGAGAAAGAGAGAGACCCCTCACATAGAGAGAGAGACCCTCACACAGAGAGAGAGACCTCACACAGAGAGAGACCCCTCACACAGAGAGAGAACCCTCACAGAGAGAGAGACCTCACACAGAGAGAGAGACCTCACACAGAGAGACCCCCGCAGCAGGTTGATTTGTGTAAATAAAAAAGAGCAGAAGCGTCCGCACTTTCTCTGATTCAACCATCGATCCACGATGCTCCAGCTATGACAGATCTTCAATAGAGGGGGGGGGGAGAGGAGCTGAGGGGGAGAGGAGGGGCTGAGGGGGAGAGGAGGAGAGAGAATGATGGGGCGGGACTGAAACACTAAACAGCACATACTATAAATAGATTGTGATGTCACATCACACACCTCAAATGGCCTTAAACTAAATGTGTTTTTGCATCAATCACAATCTGTCGGCTCCAAACAAACACGTCTCGTGGGCCTTTGGGAGCGGGACGAGCCCTGAATAATAATAAATATGTAGATTAAAAACACATATGGAAACACCCTGGATGTGTCTCTAAATATAACTCAAACTAAACTTGTGAAATGAAAACCATAATGACCCCAGCAGCAGGTTGGAGGGCCCTCTTCCTCCAGCATTGATTTGAAAACCCTCAGTTGTGACAGGTCTTCAATAGCGCACAGAGCATGGAGAATACAGGAGCGAGTCTGAGGAAGCAGAGCTGACAGAAAAGGTGTTGTTTTGTCCAAAATCGCTGTCGCCTGGCCTCACCGAGGGGCCGTGTGGGGACTGGGCCGCTGCCAAACCTAATGTTTTTGTACACGGCCTGTCCAAGCAGAGCAGAGGACACACTGACAGCCCACACAAGGCTCTGGGGACATTTGGAATTCTGGAAAGAAAGCCTAATGGGGATAATAACCCCCAAATATTGTGCTATTGTGTTGGCAAAAGTCAAACAGTTTGGGAGGCGGAAACACAAGGAATAATGGGTTCGGCATGAAGAGATTGCAAAGTTCTGCCTCTATGTATGTGCTGCGTGAGCGACATGAAGCATTGTCCATGTTATTGTTGTTTTGTCTGTCGGTGACAGTTGTTTTGTGTTCTACAATCGTCATTATCTGAGTTTCCCATTTATATTTTAGTAGCTTCAATGAAGTAGTCAGGGTCATGCACTGAGAGAAAATGGCCAGAACGAAGCAGACTTTGCATAAATCCACAAGAAAGCTTGTGTAAGAAGCTAAAAACCAGGTACACCAAGGCTCTGAGGGAGCTCCACACAACCAGGACTCCACCTCTGCTCCTCCTGGTCAGGCTGCTGCTCTTCCTGGTCTGGCTGGACGCTTAACTTTTCAGATATTAAACCTTAAATATGAGGTAGAGCTCGGGTCTCACTGGTCAATGCCCTGGACTGCCTTAGCACTGGAGCACCTCAGGGGTCTGTACTGGGACCCATGCCTCTAGGCCTGGGTTTCTCTGACGACACATGAGCAGTGGCATGTTCTGACCTGTAGGAGGCAGCGTTCCTTGAAGATGTATCCGATGAGTTTGTCCAGGTGCATGAGACACTGGTGATAGCGGATGTGGTGCGTGAGGACGGGCAGCATCATGGCGTGCTGGAAGAAAACAAAGAAACAGCCGTTAAATCTCCCGTTTCATTCTTGGATGTTGGAGTGCTTCCTCCCGATCACATTTCTCAGCTTTATTCTCAACTCTTTAACTGTTCTCGCCTCAAACCTGTTCAGAGGAACTGGTTTCACATCATGGATATTTGGACTCACTTCTTTAGATCAGCTTTTTTCTGGCAGCAGAGAGAGAGACCAGAGAGAGAGACCAGAGAGAGTGAGAGAGAGACCAGAGGGAGACAATAGAGAGACCAGAGAGAGAGACCAGAGAGAGAGACCAGAGGGAGACGAGAGAGAGAGAGAGAGACCAGAGGGAGACAAGAGAGAGAGGAGGGAGAGAGAGACCAGAGTGAGAGAGAGAGAGAGAGACCAGAGAGAGTGAGAGAGCGAGAGAGACCAGAGCGAGAGTGAGAGAGACCAGAGAGACCAAAGAGAGAGACCAGAGAGAGAGACCAGAGAGAGTGAGAGAGAGAGAGAGGGAGAGAGAGACGAGAGAGAGACCAGAGAGAGAGAGAGAGAGAGAGACCAGAGTGAGAGTGAGAGAGACCAGAGAGACCAAAGAGAGAGACCAGAGAGAGAGAGACCAGAGGGAGACAAGAGAGAGAGAAGGAGAGGGAGAGAGAGACCAGAGAGAGTGAGAGAGAGAGACCAGAGAGAGTGAGAGAGAGAGAGAGACCAGAGAGAGTGAGAGAGACCAGAGAGAGAGACCAAAGAGAGAGACCAGAGAGAGTGAGAGAGAGACCAGAGAGAGAGACCAAAGAGAGAGACCAGAGAGAGAGAGGGAGAGAGAGACCAGAGATCAGAGAGAGTGATAGACCAGAGACCAGAGAGAGAGAGAGAGAGAGACCAGAGAGAGACAGAGCGACCAGAGAGAGAGAGACGAAATAGATTAGCAAGAGAGCAGTAGGACGCAAGATAGAGACCAGAGATGGAGAGAACCAAGAAAAAAGGAAGAGATCAGAGAGAGCGAGAGAGAAAGACTCAAGCTAGAGACCAAAGAGAGAGAGAGACCCAAGATGGAGATCAGAGAGAGAACCCTGAGAGAAAGATCAGAAAGACCAGATAGAGTGAGACCAGACAGACTATCACTGGTTTTCAAATTTATGTACAGTACAGTATCATTGACCCGACACATTTTTAGATTTACTTTGACACAAAAGAGAAAACCACCATCCGCCAAAAGCACCAAATACTTTCTCTCTGACACCAGAAAAACCACAGACACCATGTTTTCTAACGAGACGACAGACCATACATGACCTGCAGCCGCTACGCTAGCCCCCCCTGGATCCTGCGGTGTGAGATCATAGAACTCAAAGTGATGCTGGCGTTGACAATGATGACCATGTCAAAGTCGGCCGCGGCCGAAGAGAGAGAGCGGCCGAGCGAGAGAGAGCGGCCGAGAGAGAGAGAGCGGCCGAGCGAGAGAGAGCGGCCGAGCGAGAGAGAGCGGCCGAGCGAGAGAGAGCAGAGAGTGAGAGAGGGAGAGAGAGACCAGAGAGAGAGAGAGAGACCAGAGAGAGTGAGAGAGAGAGACCAGAGCGAGCGTGAGAGAGACCAAAGAGAGAGACCAGAGAGAGTGAGAGAGAGAGAGAGAGAGAGAGAGAGAGAGAGAGAGAGAGAGGAGAGAGAGAGAGACCAGAGAGACCAAAGAGAGAGACCAGAGAGAGAGAGACCAGAGAGAGAGAGACCAGAGTGAGAGAGAGAGAGACCAGAGAGAGTGAGAGAGAGAGAGAGACCAGAGCGAGAGAGAGAGACCAGAGAGACCAAAGAGAGAGACCAGAGAGAGAGAGAGAGAGAGAGAGACCAGAGCGAGAGTGAGAGAGACCAGAGAGACCAAAGAGAGAGACCAGAGAGAGTGAGAGAGAAAGAGAGAGACCAGAGAGAGTGAGAGAGAGAGAGACCAGAGCGAGAGTGAGAGAGACCAGAGAGACCAAAGAGAGAGACCAGAGAGAGAGACCAGAGAGAGTGAGAGAGAGACCAGAGAGTGAGAGAGAGAGAGACCAGAGAGAGTGAGAGAGACCAGAGAGAGAGAGCAGCCGAGCGAGAGACATTAGTGAGAGGAAGATTGGACACGAGCAAAAGAGAGCGGATGATGTGTGACAGCGAAGGAGTCTCTGCACGTTAGCATGGCGACTGCCCGACCCGGCCCGGCCCAGCCCAGCCCGGCCAGCACACACATGCAGGAGCTGGGCAGACATCCATCAAAGACTCATTATTTATTAAGTGCAGCTCGACAACGAAGAGATGAAATAATCAAAAGGCCGATGGAGAGCTGTGGAAACGCTCGGTGTTCTGGACAGGAGCAGCCGATCGAAGACCATCAGCACAAGTTGACAGAAGAGGCCGACAAGGCAGAGGTGTGGGAGAGGAGTGGGCCTTGTGTGGAATTAATAGGACGGAAGAGTGGGAGAGGAGCGTCAGGAGAGGGTTAGGGAAGATAGGAGAAGAGAAAGTGATGGAGGAGAAGAGAGCGGACATTGAACCCGGTCTGGTTTCCCGAGAAAACAGGTCAGAAACAAAGAAATTATGAATGAGCTCTCGACAATAGTGTGATGACAAATATGGTACGATATGGTCTACGGTCTCAGTCCTGGGTCTACGGTCTCAGTCCTGGGTCTAAGGTCTCAGTCCTGGGTCTAAGGTCTCAGTCCTGGGTCTAGGGTCTCAGTCCTGGGTCTACGGTCTCAGTCCTGGGTCTACGGTCTCAGTCCAGGGTCTACGGTCTCAGTCCAGGGTCTACGGTCTCAGTCCAGGGTCTACGGTCTCAGTCCAGGGTCTACGGTCTCAGTCCAGGGTCTACGGTCTCAGTCCTGGGTCTACGGTCTCAGTCCTGGGTCTACGGTCTCAGTCCAGGGTCTACGGTCTCAGTCCAGGGTCTACGGTCTCAGTCCTGGGTCTACGGTCTCAGTCCAGGGTCTACGGCCTCAGTCCTGGATCTACAGCCTCAGTCCTGGGTCTACAGCCTCTAAAGTCCTGTTTAGCCCTACTCGACTCTACCCTACTCAGTTCCGTTTCCATTACACTTTAGGACAGAGGAGGACAATCTGGTCCTCAAAGGGCCGTGTGTCTGCAGCTCTTCCAATCTGAGCAGGAGAAACCAGACTCGTCGTTATGAATAAATAAATGAATATAGGAAAAGCAGAATAAATGAATGAAACAGCCTCTTTCCCGCGCTGCAGAGCCCAGACAGCCGGGGTCTCTCTCTCTCTCGGATCTCAGTGGCAAATGACACACTTGGCCCTCTGTAATCAGCACGTTAGCCCCGGTTGGCCTCTCCTCTCTGCGTCTCCGAGGTCTCGTTGGGAGCGTGGCGGTGGACACAGGTTCTCTGCGTGTTAATTGGCCGATGCTGTTGTGTTCTCGGGGTGGGCCTGTCGGAGATGGCCGCGGGGCGAGAGCCGTTCGTTGGCTGTAATTAAAACATGGGCCCTGCTCTGGCTGATCTGACCGGGTTAATGTGCGTACAACAGCCTCCCGCCTCTAATGAGACGGAGAAGGGAAGCAGAAAACGGCATTGGTTCAGTTTTAAAAGGCTGTCGATGGAATCTATCTGTTTTATTGTTTGGTCCTGAAACAAACGTACGCACAGCTGGAGGTTTACACACTCAGGCAAAACGGTCGATTCAGAGGAAATATTTAGGAAAAGATTAATTAGAAGAGAAACTTGTTAATGGTCTTTCTCCCCACCTCTAGTCTCTCTCTGTGGTCTCTCTCTGGTCTCTCTCTGTGGTCTCTCTTTCTGTGGTCTCTCTCTCTGTGGTCTCTCTCTCTGTGGTCTCTCTCTCAGGTCTCTCTAGTGTCTCTGGCATCTCTCTCTGGTCTCTCTCTTTTTGGTCTCTCTCTCTGGTCTCGCTCTCTCTGGTCTCTCTCTCTGGTCTCTCTCTGGTCTCTCTCTGGTCTCTCTCTGGTCTCTCTCTCTCTGGTCTCTCTGGTCTCTCTCTGTGGTCTCTCTTTCTGTGGTCTCTCTCTCTGTGGTCTCTCTCTCTGTGGTCTCTCTCTCAGGTCTCTCTAGTGTCTCTGGCATCTCTCTCTGGTCTCTCTCTTTTTGGTCTCTCTCTCTGGTCTCGCTCTCTCTGGTCTCTCTCTCTGGTCTCTCTCTGGTCTCTCTCTGGTCTCTCTCTGGTCTCTCTCTCTCTGGTCTCTCTGGTCTCTCTCTCCCTGGTCTCTCTCTCTCTGGTCTCTCTCTGGTCTCTCTCTCTCTGGTCTCTCTCTCCGGTCTCTCTTTCTGGTCTCCCTCTCTCTGGTCTCTGGTCTCCCTCTCTCTGGTCTCTCTGGTCTCTCTGGTCTCTCTCTCCCTGGTCTCTCTCTCCCTGGTCTCTCTCTCCCCGGTCTCCCTGATCTCATGCAGGATAAAGCACACTAAAAAGAGCTTGAATCGAAATTTAAAAACAAAACAATTGTAAAAAAAAAAAACACCTTCAATCACCAACTCCTGCTCTACATGGTGTTCATTAGAAAACCATCAGTCCAATAGTGTTGATGGTTTCGAGCCGAGTCAAGAATGTGTCATATCAAGAGCAGCTGAGTCCAACTCCAAATCGCCAACACTACTTTTGTCACACGTTGTGCAAAGCCGCGGTCTCCGTCTTGGAATTATGCACGGACCAATTAGCGGCAGAAGTGCAGCTTGAAGCAAATATAATTGGGCGGCAATTACAGACGACGAGCTCCTTCTTCGCAGACCTCGCTGGAAGAGGTCCGGCTCGCGAGGCAGGATCTCGGTGTCATTCCTCTCAAAGTGAAGAGCTGAGGGCTGCGCTCAGTCCAGCCGTGCCAATTATTTCTCCGATAAAATGGACGTGCAATATTGGCACAGATGTAATGTATGCGAAAAGCAGCAGGACGAGGCAGACTTTGGGAACGAGGCGAAGAGAAGGTAAAAAACTGGTAAATGAATGAAAGTCAGATATTAATATGTTCGGGAGATTTGGACTGATTCTCCCAGATCATACAACTACTTTGACAGGATTCAAGCTGAAATTAAAAATGGTAATGTTTTAACGAAATCTATGGTCCTCAGCAGGAGGCCGTAAGCTTCATGGTGTCAGGAAGAGGGTCCACAGACAGAGAGATATAGCAGCTGTGATGTCACCAGTCAGTGGTTTATAAACACTTTCTGATTGGCTGATGAGGGTGGTCCTCTCTTTTTCACTGATGACAGAGACAGAAATACATGAGCGATAAAACAAAACTGTATTGTTTCTGCTCTCCCTCTCTCTCTCTCTCTCTCTCTGGCCTCTCTCACTCTCTGGTCTCACTCTCTGGTCTCACTCTCTGGTCTCACTCTCTGGTCTCACTCTCTGGTCTCACTCTCTGGTCTCACTCTCTGGTCTCACTCTCTGGTCTCACTCTCTGGTCTCACTCTCTGGTCTCACTCTCTGGTCTCACTCTCTGGTCTCACTCTCTGGTCTCACTCTCTGGTCTCACTCTCTGGTCTCACTCTCTGGTCTCACTCTCTGGTCTCACTCTCTGGTCTCACTCTCTGGTCTCACTCTCTGGTCTCACTCTCTGGTCTCACTCTCTGGTCTCACTCTCTGGTCTCACTCTCTGGTCTCACTCTCTGGTCTCACTCTCTGGTCTCACTCTCTGGTCTCACTCTCTGGTCTCACTCTCTGGTCTCACTCTCTGGTCTCACTCTCTGGTCTCACTCTCTGGTCTCACTCTCTGGTCTCACTCTCTGGTCTCACTCTCTGGTCTCACTCTCTGGTCTCACTCTCTGGTCTCACTCTCTGGTCTCACTCTCTGGTCTCACTCTCTGGTCTCACTCTCTGGTCTCACTCTCTGGTCTCACTCTCTGGTCTCACTCTCTGGTCTCACTCTCTGGTCTCACTCTCTGGTCTCACTCTCTGGTCTCACTCTCTGGTCTCACTCTCTGGTCTCACTCTCTGGTCTCACTCTCTGGTCTCACTCTCTGGTCTCTCACTCTCTGGTCTCTCACTCTCTGGTCACTCTCTCTCTCTGGTCACTCTCTGGTCACTCTCTGGTCACTCTCTGGTCACTCTCTGGTCACTCTCTGGTCACTCTCTGGTCACTCTCTGGTCACTCTCTGGTCACTCTCTGGTCACTCTCTGGTCACTCTCTGGTCACTCTCTTTGGTCTCTTTTTCTCTGGTCTCTCTTTATCTGGTCTCTCTCCCTGGTCTCTCAAATGTGTGCAAACTATAGATAGAAACTGTTTTAGATCCAGGCGAGAGACATCGCTCCATCTTTTCTGGTTTTAAACTTTGCGTCTCCAGCTTTAAATTCATAAGCAGAATATTCTTCCACAACTCCCTTTTCAGCTGCTGCGTTCGTAACCGCCGCACCACAGTTTTGGCATCCAGAATTCCACTTTGTTCCTGTTGGCGTGGACAAAGCGTGACAGCAAAGAATTTTCCGATAAGGTTGAAAAATCTCATTAAATACATGTCTGAATGCCATAAAGCAGCACGAGCCACTGCCTTTTAGAAGCAGAGACGATCACCAAATGGGAAAAACTAAATCATATCTAAGAGTCCTTCTCACAACAGACATTTTCGGCAATTTGGTTCCATTTGTACAAGTTTTACCATATACTGTAAATATTAAGTTTTACCACAGTTAAATGTACACGGTTCCACGGCGGCTGTGTATGCATCGATCCCTGTTCTGGAGCAGACGCAGAATTCAAGATGTGGATCAAAAATCTCATTAAAAACGAGTTGGAATGCCATTGAGCTGCACGAGAGGCTGCTTTGTATTTAAAAATGACAATCCAGAAAACGCAGAAGGAAGAAAAGAGCTGAAAATGACGACTACAAAGACAGTTATGTCATTCTTGTAATTGCAATTTCACAATTTTATATAAAAAGTTAGAAAGTAGGCAGCAATATCATATTTAGTGGAAAGAGAGCGTATGTGAGGAGTGGACTGGCAGAGTGTGACATCACCTAGAGTTTGCCTTGATGCAGATGTAAGATAGCTGGAGCCAATTTCCTTATATGGGCATTTCTTCTTTGCGCTATAGGGGCAGACCTGTTGCTAAGGCGGTTGCTATGACATGACTTGAGTTTTTCTACGTGAATGAAGGCATCTGATTGGTCAATCCTTTAATGGCTCCTTTCTGGATCACAATGAACAGGACCAGAGAGACCACAGTCTTTATCACAGAATGGTCTTAGGTCCTGGATCTGAAGCAGTTTTCACATCATGTATTTCTGATCACTCTCTCTGGTCTCTCTCTCTGGTCTCTCTCTCTCTGGTCTCTCTCTCTCTGGTCTCTCTCTCTCTGGTCTCTCTCTCTCTGGTCTCTCTCTCTCTGGTCTCTCTCTCTGGTCTCTCTCTCTGGTCTCTCTCTCTGGTCTCTTTCTGGTCTCTTTCTGGTCTCTCTCTCTCTGGTCTCTCTCTCTCTGGTCTCTCTCTGGTCTCTCTCTGGTCTCTCTCTGGTCTCTCTCTGGTCTCTCTCTGGTCTCTCTCTGGTCTCTCTCTGGTCTCTCTCTCTGGTCTCTCTCTCTGGTCTCTCTCTCTGGTCTCTCTCTCTGGTCTCTCTCTCTGGTCTCTCTCTCTGGTCTCTCTCTCTGGTCTCTCTCTCTGGTCTCTCTCTCTGGTCTCTCTCTCTGGTCTCTCTCTCTGGTCTCTCTCTCTGGTCTCTCTCTCTGGTCTCTCTCTCTGGTCTCTCTCTCTGGTCTCTCTCTCTGGTCTCTCTCTCTGGTCTCTCTCTCTGGTCTCTCTCTCTGGTCTCTCTCTCTGGTCTCTCTCTGGTGTCTCTCTGGTCTCCCCAATCAGCCCAAATCATCAGATAGTGACGTACACATACAAAAACAATAACATTTTCTAACCACACTGTCGGTCTGATCCCAACCTTTCACTGTTATAAGTGTCTTCTGTGAGTCTTTCTCCCAACAGACACACACACGCACACACACACGCACACGCACACGCACAGCTCAGAGACCGTCCTAAATGTCTTGCGCCGGGTCTGAAGCCGCTCTGCCTGGGCCTAATGAAGGGTATGGCTTGTCTTGGGCTCAGCGTGACTCCACTTTCCCTACACGCCATTTTGACACATGAATGAACGCATCGGAGTGACGCAAGACGAGGAAAGATGAAAAACAGCAGCGTGACCGACTCCGAGCGAAGGCGCCGCGGCCATCACCGTCTTGACAACCCCCGGCACCGGCGCTAACAAGTGTCAGCCAATCAGAGATGATGTAATGGACGCGCTAATTGAAAATATCAGGCGGAGAAAAGGAGGGAAAGAAGTTGAAAACGAACGCAAACATAATCAGAGCAGACAGAAAGGAGACGTGTAATTACGGGAAGAAGAGGCGGCCGCGAGCAATTAAGAGGAAATGGAAGTTAGCGTGCGTGGATCATAATATTTGACAGCCCTGAAATGTGCAGACGGGAAGTTTGAGAAGATGTGTGAATGAAGAACCTGAGATTCTAATGTTGGATTTTATCTGGAAACCGCTGAACACAACACGCAAAAACACACAGGGACGATTCTGGGATCCGTCCGTAAACTTCCCACAATAGTCGACTGGAATTCTGGCCCATTACTCCGAACCGAACTTGTCTCGCTGGCATGTCTTTTGAGATCTGCCCAAAGGTTCGAGAGCAGTGTCCCCCGACCTTTTTAAAGTGTATTTTATAGAAAATAAAATAAGAGCAAGAAACGCCTGTCTAAAATTCTCATTATTTTATATTATTATTATTTTGACCAATTAAGGTACAAACAACATGCCACCTGCCACAGCCGGTCTGCAGCCTCAGCCCTGGGTCTGCAGCCTCAGTCCTGGGTCTGCAGCCTCAGTCCTGGGTCTACAGCCCCAGTCCCGGGTCTACAGCCTCAGTCCCGGGTCTACAGCCTCAGTCCCGGGTCTACAGCCTCAGTCCCGGGTCTACAGCCTCAGTCCCGGGTCTACAGCCTCAGTCCTTGGGCTGGTTTACCTGGCAGACATCTGAGCGGATCCCGGTCTTCCAGAATCCCTGACTGCTCAGCTCCACGGTCACTTCTCTCCTCATCGTGTTCTTCTGTCGGATCTTCTGCAGAGCCTCCTGTTTCCAAACACACACAACTGAGTCAAAAAACACACAACAGAGTCAACAAACATACAACAGAGACAAAAAACATCTTCTGCAGAGCTTCCTGTTTCCAAACACACACAACTGAGTCAAAAAACATCTTCTGCAGAGCCTCCTGTTTCCAAACACACACAACTGAGTCAAAAAACACACACAGAGCTGAATCAATAAACGGTTGGTGAAAAGCTGACACGGGTCTAAACAACATGGCAGCACTGTTGTCCCCCCCCTCCTCCTCTCTGTTTCCTCTGTCTCTGGTTGCCTTTGACACATGCAATAATCTGAAAGTGGGGTCCCTGCTGCTACTGCTGCTGCTGTGATGATGGGGGGCATTTGGAGGAGAATGGTTAATTAGGGGCAAGTCTTGGGTCGCTTGGCTTTGGGGCAGACATGGCAGTGACAGGACAAGCTGATGCCACCAACGGTAACCAACCAGGACTCAAGAAGAAAGGGAGGGGGAGGGGACAGCCTGCCATCTCTACATACTCTCATACTGCTGGACCTGCTGCTCTCCTCTAGAGTAGATTAGAGTAGAGAAGACTAGAGTAGGGTAGAGTAGACTAGGGCAGAGTAGAGTAGAGTAGAGTAGAGTAGAGTAGAGTAGGGTAGATTAGAGTAGAGAAGACTAGGGCAGAGTAGAGTAGAGTAGAGTAGAGTAGGGTAGGGTAGAGTAGAGTAGAGTAGAGTAGAGTAGAGTAGAGTAGAGTAGAGTAGAGTAGAGTAGGGTAGAGTAGAGTAGAGTAGGGTAGAGTAGAGTAGAGTAGAGTAGAGTAGAGTAGAGTAGAGTAGAGTAGAGTAGAGTAGAGTAGAGTAGAGTAGAGTAGAGTAGAGTAGAGTAGAGTAGAGTAGAGTAGGGTAGAGTAGAGTAGAGTAGAGTAGAGTAGGGTAGGGTAGGGTAGGGTAGGGTAGGGTAGGGTAGGGTAGAGTAGAGTAGAGTAGAGTAGAGTAGAGTAGAGTAGAGTAGAGTAGAGTAGAGTAGAGTAGAGTAGAGTAGAGTAGAGTAGGGTAGAGTAGAGTAGAGTAGAGTAGGGTAGGGTAGGGTTAGGGTAGAGTAGAGTAGAGTAGAGTAGGGTAGGGTAGGGTAGGGTAGGGTAGTAGAGTAGAGTAGAGTAGAGTAGAGTAGAGTAGAGTAGAGTAGAGTAGAGTAGAGTAGAGTAGAGTAGAGTAGGGTAGAGTAGAGTAGAGTAGAGTAGAGTAGAGTAGAGTAGGGTAGAGTAGAGTAGAGTAGAGTAGAGTAGAGTAGAGTAGAGTAGAGTAGAGTAGGGTAGGGTAGAGTAGGGTAGAGTAGGGGTAGAATAGAGTAGGGTAGGGTAGAGTGGGGGTAGAAAAGAGCAGAGTAGAGAAGGGTAGGACTGGTGGAAATGGGTTTATGTTCATATTTAGTATTTAAACTTCAGTAAAAACCAAAGAATAAAAACAGTCAGAGACACAGGAAACAGCAACAAAGACCTGAATAAATAAACTTCTGCTTTGAACTGGCATCAAACGCAGAGCTCTCCCACCGCTGTGACCCTGCATGTGCACCAGGAGGCCTCAGTCAGTTACGGTCAGCCTCGGTCAGTTACGGTCAGCCTCGGTTGGTGGAGACTGTCTGGTTCCTAAGTCCAGAACATTGTTGGAGCCGCATCCAGGAGCTGCACCCAAGATACGCACCCAGAACCCGGCTGCCCCTGCGACTTGGCAACGAATAAAGCGGAAGAAATTGATGATGACAGGGTCGAATGAACGGTTGGAGGAGAGGAATTTAAAGAAGACATGTTATGCCACAGTTTGGCCACAAAACTGATAATGGGACTTTTACTTCTTATGTTTTCAAATGTGAAATTCTATTAGATTTTTTTGCACCATTTTTTCACATGATGTTTATAGTATACGTTTATAGTTAAAATCCTCGAGCTCAAGGGGACGTTTTTCTGTTGACTTCAGTCACTTACAAATGTCAGAAAATGTGTCATTAATCAAATAATCAACCAAAATCCAATCTAACCATTTGGCCTCAAAAATCCATAATATTTCTGTTTCTGGTCTCTCTCTGGTCTCTCTCTACAGTGACATATGAGGCTCTTGCGTTGCCAGTTTGATGTTTTAAATATACCTGGTTTTGGCCATTTCTTTGTCTCCATCTGGTCTCTCTCTACTGTCTCTCTCTGGTCTCTCTCTGGTCTCTCTCTGGTCTCTCTCTACGGTCTCCCTCTGGTCTCTCTCTACTATCTCCCTCTGGTCTCTCTCTACTGTCTCCCTCTGGTCTCTCTGTACTGTCTCCCTCTGGTCTCTCTCTGGTCTCGCTCTACTGTCTCCCTCTGGGCTCTCTCTGGTCTCTCTCTAGTCTCTCTCTACTGTCTCGATCTGGTCTCTCTCTACTGTCCCCTCTGGTCTCTCTCTGATCCCTCTCTACTAGGGGTGGGAACCTAAGGGTACCTCACGATACGATACGATACAAAGCTCACAATAACGATAATATCACAATAACGATTTTATCACAATATGACGATTATCGATATATTGGTCAGAAATATACCATATGCCAATTTATGGTATATATAAAAGAAAAATCTTAAGTGAAAAAATACACTTTATTCCATGATAAATGGAATGGAGATGCGTAATGTAGCCATATATAAAGTATTGATAGTAAGTAAGTTGGTAAGTAATGTTTTTATATAGCGCATTTCACAGACCAGGGCGGCATGGTGGCTGAATGGTTAGCACTCTCGCCTCTCAGCAAGAAGGTCCTGGGTTCGAATCCCAGTCGGACCAGGGCCTTTCTGAGTGGAGTTTGCATGTTCTCCCCGTGTCTGCGTAGGTTTCCTCCGGGTACTCCGGTTTCCCCTACCACTAAAAATATGTACAATAGTTCTGGCATGCGCCTCCCGTACTGGCGACCCCGCTACCATCTATGTGAGGAGTGAGAGACTAATGCCCAAAAAAAATAATTGTAAACCGCTTTGAGGCTCTGGTTAGAGTGAAAAGGCGGAAATAAACATCACTTACCAAGGTACAGACCCAAAGCACTTTCCAATGTTCAGAGTCAGATATTGTTCCAATCCTTCCACACACGGTGATGACAGAAGCGAGTCCAGAACACACTGGACCATCAGCTCCAACACCATCCATTCACTCTCTCATTTACATTCAGACCTATTGTGCATGTTTTTGTGGTAGGGGAAACCGGAGCACCCGGAGGAAACCTACACAGGCATGAGAACATGCAAACTCCACTCAGAAAGGCCCTGTTCCAACCGGAATTCGAACCAAGGACCTTCTTGCTGAGAGGCGAGAGTGCTATCGACTCAGCCACTAATTGAAAAAAAAAATAATCGATATCGATACTTGGCAAATGCATATCGATAATCGAATCGCGGGAGAAAGTATCGCGATATCGATCGTCACACCCCTACTCTCTACTGACTGTCTCTGGTCTATCTACTGTCTCCCTCTGGTCTCCCTCTGGTCTCTCTCTGGTCTCTATCTATTGTTTCCCTCTGGTCTCTCTCTACCATCTCCCTCTGGTCTCCCTCTGGTCTCCCTCTGGTCTCCCTCTGGTCTCCCTCTGGTCTCCCTCTGGTCTCTATCTATTGTTTCCCTCTGGTCTCTCTCTACCATCTCCCTCTGGTCTCCCTCTGGTCTCCCTCTGGTCTCCCTCTGGTCTCCCTCTGGTCTCCCTCTGGTCTCCCTCTGGTCTCCCTCTGGTCTCCCTCTGGTCTCTCTCTACCATCTCTCTACCATCTCTCTACCATCTCTCTACCATCTCTCTACCATCTCTCTACCATCTCTCTACCATCTCCCTCTGGTCTCCCTCTGGTCTCCCTCTGGTCTCCCTCTGGTCTCCCTCTGGTCTCCCTCTGGTCTCCCTCTGGTCTCCCTCTGGTCTCTCTCTGGTCTCTCTCTGGTCTCTCTCTGGTCTCTCTCTGGTCTCTCTCTGGTCTCTCTCTGGTCTCTCTCTGGTCTCTCTCTGGTCTCTCTCTGGTCTCTCTCTGGTCTCTCTCTGGTCTCTCTCTGGTCTCCCTCTGGTCTCTCTCTACCATCTCCCTCTGGTAACAGTAAAAATCAGAGACACAAAAAATGGCACCAAATATTTCCAAATGAAAGTCAAAACCAACAGTGTATTGTTGCTGGTGTTTTGCTTGTTCTTCTGTTGTCATAGCGACACACAAATACATTGAATTGATTATGGGACTTTTCCATCGGATCCATTTGGGAATGTTTTAAACCCGAGAGACGGAAGTGTGTGATCAGTTCATGAAATTCAATGAGTTCTTTTTCCATCGGGATAAAATCTTTTGATGATTCAGAGTTCCACCTCCCGCTAAGACTGCGACAGATTTAGACCCTCCACAAATAGAGCCGCAACAAACGAACACAACAGGAGAGAAACCTCGTCTTCAAAGAGTTTGGAATCAATGAGTGACAACGGGGATGAGTGTTAGACTACAAATGCAATAATCTCTCTACTGTCTTCCTCCGGTCTCCCTCTGGTCTCTCTCTACTGTCTCCCTCCGGTCTCTCTACTGTCTCCCTCTGGTCTCCCTATGGTCCCTCTCTACAGTCTCCCTCCGGTCTCCCTACTGTCTCCCTCCAGTCTCCCTATGGTCTCTCTCTACTGTCTCCCTCTGGTCTCCCTATGGTCCCGCTCTACTGTCTCCCTCTGGTCTCCCTATGGTCCCGCTATACTGTCTCTCTCCGGTCTCCCTACTGTCTCCCTCTGGTCTCCCTATGGTCCCGCTCTACTGTCTCCCTCCGGTCTCCCTACTGTCTCCCTCTGGTCTCCCCTATGGTCCCTCTCTACAGTCTCCCTCCGGTCTCCCTACTGTCTCCCTCCAGTCTCCCTATGGTCTCTCTCTACTGTCTCCCTCTGGTCTCCCTATGGTCCCGCTCTACTGTCTCCCTCCGGTCTCCCTACTGTCTCCCTACTGTCTCCCTCTGGTCTCCCTATGGTCCCTCTCTACAGTCTCCCTCCGGTCTCCCTACTGTCT